AATATTAGATCTTTGTGGCAGAGTAACTTCCACAAATTCTGGGTCATCTTTGTAGAGATTTTTTTTTAACATGGAGTAGAGAAGTTGCACAGATCTCGGCTCTAAAGTGTCAGGTTTTCGATTTTTTTTTTTTTTTTTTTTTTTTTTTCTCTCCCCAAAGACTAAGTTCATCTTGGCCTTGCAAAAGTTTTTAGCTACTTAGCAATTGCTGTGTAATTATTAAACTGCCTTTTGCAAATAAGGGCTGTCTAAGAATCCTTGCAGTATTTGGACTGTTAGCTTAAGCATTAACTTCTGTGATATAAAGAGCCGTGAGGCTAAATACAGGTGAGTTTCTCTGTTTATGTGCCTCATCGATAAACCCATCTCAAGAGGAGTTTAGATTTGATGTGGTGGAACGTACAGCCCCCTTTTTTTCCTGCAGATAACTAGGGTAAGTATCAACTTAATTTCTGCTTCAAGAAGAAATTTCCTTACGTATCACCTAGATAATGTTTTCACTGTAACTTCTGTCTTTCTGAGCAACATGACCTCTAAAGCAGAGGCCTTAAAGTGATGAAGTACCATTCTTTTAGCCTGTGGGAAATTTACTTTCCACTAGAGTTGTGGGAAATGTGCATCTTATGTGCCTTTAGATTCATAACAGAGTGCTTTCTCTAGGGTGTTAGAATATTATTTTTTTTCAGGGAGATGCTGGTTGCATTTTTTAAAGAATATTGCCTGCATTATATGTTTGTAAGACTTGATATGCCATATAGTAAAATGTTTGAGAAGAGAAATACTCTCAGCACAAATCTAGAAACACTCTCTTTTGAAGCTTGTTTAGAAGTGGGCAAAAGTTTACTGTTTGTATTGGAAGGTATGTGCTAAGTATTGGAAGAATGGTAAAAATACTGCAGTCACTCAGACATTACTGTATTGGTTTGGCTGATGGTACTGAATGCTTCTGCTGCAGAAACTCTAAGCCTGACTTGTCTGTTCTGTTAAGACTAGAGTTCAGTTGCTTAGGGTTTGTAAGTGCAAAAGCATATATCTGGCTTTCTTGGCCATATAGAGTAGATAACAACCATACAGAGTAGATAACTGGGATGTTGTGGGCAATGCCTTAGAGCAAAGGGTTGAGAGGAGCTCTGAGTGACTTCTTCAGCAAAGCTAGAGCTCATCTGGGAGTTCACACTTGATTATTAGCACCTGGGGTAGGAGCGCTGCAACTGTACCAGGTATTCTGCACTTAGTGTACAATAAAATACATGTTGGTATGAAAAATGAGCAATGTTAATTTAAAGTGACTGCCTGTTATCTTGGGCTGGTGTAAGGTTATTTTGGGTAAAAGCACGTTCCTCTTACGAAACTGTCAGCTATAAATATTCCGCCCATGTTAGCTAACCAAGCAGAGGTAATTCTTACGTTTCTTTTCTCTGTTCTTTTTTCTTTCTCTGCTGAGTCCACACAGCTACACCTCCAAGTTGAGGGTGGTAAAGGTTTCTCCCCTTTAGGTGGCAAGTGACCTTTATTTCTGATACAATGGCAGCGAGTTCTTTAGAGGATACATGTGGGCTTTAGACTGAACGATGCCAGGCTGGTACAAGCAAGGAAGTGTTTTACTAAATTGCAAGAGCAGTCTTGTTATGATTGTAGTAAAATTGCAGAAGGGGAGAAGTTAATAGTTAATTCTCTAATTCCAGTGTAGGTCTGTCAGTAGCTAGTTTAAGCCATTTACAGGACCCATAAGAGACTTCAGATCAGTTGCTGATAAGTGATTCTAGTTTTCCAGCCTTTTGAAGAACTCAGTTCCAGTAATCCTTCCTTTCTTCCCCCTTTCCTCCCCTCCCCGAAGGTCATCACATTCCAGTATCCTAGATGAAAGGATGTTACCAGAATCATTGCACAACTCCTATGTGAGAACAATTGGCAGGGTGGTGTCTGAGCTGGCTTTTTTTGCGAGGTCTTAAAAATGAAGCTGCATACTGCCAAGAAAGCCAGCTGCTGGAGGATTGCTGCAGTCCTGGCAGTCTTTCTAGCCCTACAGTTGAATAGATGTGGACAGAGCTTTTGAGTTTCGGATGACGTTAGGGTTGGAAAGGGATTTTGAGGTTATGTCTGAATGCTCAAGTACTGCTTAGGTACAAGTGGGATTAGCAGTGGTACCTAGTCACTGCGGTCTCCATGCACTGCTTGTTTTGTCTTCGTGGTCCCAGGAACATGGTAAAACTGTAGTAGCAGTTAACAGCCTGTTACACTAGTGTGGACCAGCGGGGCTGAACCAGCAAATGTTAACAGAGCTGAACACTGTGTGTATGCTTGTTGCGTAGTATTGCAAATGGTATTAAATTAGCATGTGGCATCACTCTTCAAGTACAGGATTTTGTAGTTAATAGGAGACTAAATATGTTGAAGTGCAGAGGAGAGTAGTTGAACAGGATGCAGGGAGAAAGTAAAGTGGAGGACAAGGAACCTGCACCCAGTTCTTGTTCAATTCCTGGTGCTTTACTTCACCTCGACTTTACTTCACCTCGACTTCTCTTCAGATGGTAGTGACATGTGGGTAGTGAGAAGACACCACTGAATATGTTTTCAAGTTCTTGATAATATTTCTGTAGCCATGGTGACAAGCTTTTAGAGAGGTAATAACGTCATTAAATTGACTGATGGTTCTGGAGCAAAGTAAAGGCTATTAGGCTTTTGAGACCCACAAACCTGAAGGAGGCAAGTGTCTTCCAAATCTGTCAGTTGCTGTAGTAGGTGATTATGTCTCTGTAGAGGACTGAAAGACTGGCAAATAAAATTTGTTTACATCTCAAAGCACTCTTCTATCTATAAGGACAAATCTTTTTATGGGA